GCTCTCCGCAGCAAGTATTTAGCATAAATAAGAAAAGAAATAAAAGGAGCTCGAGGAGGAAAGCGCATCTGTCTTTCATTCCCTGAAACCCTGCTTCAAGTCAGCTAGCCTGCAAGAAACTGCAATTAATTTTGCGAAAGAGGTTAATGCCATTCGTTGATAAGGCAACTGACGCAAGAAGAACTCTTGATCCCGAGGAAAGCTCCAGCCCTCGGGAAACCAAAGGGTACTGTCTCACCTAGCCCACCCTTCCTCTTAGCTAAGTACCTGGGCCCAGCCAGGGATGCAGGGCCAGCTACAGTGATTTATACTTGCGAGTGAGTAATACCATGTGAAATGATGGCCACTTAGACTGGATACATGCATGCTTGCAGTGAATTATGAAGCAGAGGGTCAAAGGCTACCCTTCTTTAATACCAGCAAGCTGCAAGTATCCCATATAACTGCACCTTTGAAGCATATTATTGCTGAGACAAAAAATGTATTTCTTTCATTTATTGTTACAGCTGGTCTGCTGGTTAAAACACTATGTTGGACCCTACCTACTGACAAAAGCTTTTGACAAAAGCTTTCTCCTCTCAGATTTCCTTTAAAATGTGCGGTAGTAATACTGTTTAGGTTGGAGAGTGTTTAGAGCTATGTTTGGGGGGCAATGGTGCATCCTTTCCCTTTTACTTAAGTTTAGTACTTTTAAGTACTCACATGGAGTTATAGTGCTGGCATTACACTGTGTTCATTTTTATGGAGGCAAATAAACCATAACATATTGCACTCTTCCCAAAAGAGCTATACCAAACAGCCCCACTAGGAAATATGTTTTCTTCTTGCTTCTTTTTTTGCCTTAATCCTCCCATCTATAGAGTATGAAGGTATAAAGTGAGAAATTGATATCCTTCCAAAGTGTCTGCATTTGGGCTTGCAATGAAACAAAATTTTATGAGGACAAACTCTGCTCTGGCTGCAGTCTTCCTTGCTTTTTCCATTTTCAGCAAATCCCTCAATTTGCTCATGTTTCTTGCTTCTTGTCTGTTTTGGGGCTTGACTGACGCTATTACAACTGGTGGAAGTGTTACTTTCAGCAGTGACTGGAGGAAACTGTACTCATGCAACCGCTTTTTGAAGCCAAAATAGGAGGAAGGGCACAGTATGTCTCTCCTTGTTGCCCTATGTGGTGGTTCTCTGGAAAACCCAACACTTGTCCCACCATGTGCCTTCTATATGAACTTCTCAAACCTGTGTAGGACTTGATGGTTGCAATCCAGTTTGGACACTGTAGTGATGACAGTGTACCACGGCGCTGTTCTCAAAAAAAACACCTGAAACACCTTCTCTTCCATGTGTTACTAAGTAAGCTGGGGTACTGTGTCACATCCTACTTTGCAGTATTCATGAACATGATGCTCCTGATCCTTTCTACGAGTCAGGACAGTGTGCAAATCTTTAAATGCTCCCTTTCTCCCTATGTGATATCAAGGAATTCCTTTTTTTGTCTTCTGAGACAGAGGAATCCACTGCTTACAGTGACCGTCTTTTAATAGGTGGTATAACATTACTGAAAGAGTACTTGGGTCAAAGCCTTCCAGGTATCATTATAGAAATTTAATCACGGAAAAGAAAATATGCATGGTAACTTTTTACTCAAGACATGGTAAAATATGTCTATTAGAGGCTTACATTCCTTACATTTATGAGGATTTTTTTTAAATAAAAAATTTAATTTATTTGTACAACTGCATAAAGTTAAAGATAGATGTATAAAGCATATAACCAAGAAGAATTTCAGTACTGCCTAGTGTTAGGGACAGACTCCTTCCCTCTCATCAACAAACTATAAGCCAAAACAGTTTCAGAAGGTGTCTCACTTTCCAAATTTTCAACTTTGGCAGGACGAAGGGAAAGGAACACAGCAGGAGATCAGATACTGCTGCCGCCAAGCATTAAGACATTACCAGTTTTTATGGATAGTGGAAAATAAATATCACCACCGTGTGTGACTTTCTGTAAGGGTAGATGACAGTGACTCAGGGTTCATTTATACTCCTCGTCAATTTCTTAATTTCTTTTCCTTGAAAAAGTAGAAATAAAACATTTTATCTGCACATATTGTCAGGACAAAGTGAAGAAATCCTTGTTCTAGGCAGGTACTGAAAATTGCGTGCATGAAAAGTTATGCATATCTGGCAGCAGGATGCAGGAAATTGACACTGGAATTGCCTAAGCGGAGTCAGGAAGATGCCTTAGCATGTTTAATGTAAGTTGCCACAGAGACACGGTGTCTCCAAGAAAGCCATTAATAATCAGTTAGTTGGGAGAAAAGTTATGCATCTAGAAGATGGTCAAACAGTGCAAACTAGTTGAATTCATGAGCCTGCTCTGGGTACTAATTGACTTCATGGCTAGACATCCTCCATCTAAGCCCTCAGTTTTCCTATCAGATGTTTTCTTTCTAATATGCCTGGTAAGATGCTGGATTTGTTTAAAGTGTACTCACATGCCAACCTGTTTTTTTTTTTCTTTTTTTCCTGTTTGACATCCTTTCCTGTATGATCTCCAATGCCAAACTCCAGTGCAGCCCCTGAGACCTTCGGATATGCCAAAACCACAGGGTTTCTTGATGACTGGTTTTGACGAGGAAAGAAAAGAAGTTGTGGTGATACCTCACTTTCCAAACTAGCTGTGGAAATAACAACAGCAAAAAAAACCCCAACCCCAGCATGTACTTGCTGCCTTTTATTCATCATGCCTGGGAATGGCTGTAGGAACATTTTCTGCATAATAATCTTCTCTCAGGACTAGCCAGAAACCTTTTCCCTGGGGTCCTGCAAATCTTGTCCTCCAGCCACCTCTCTAATTGATGTGGCTGAGAGAGCAAAACCCCTCTGCAGTTGCGGCATAACCCCCCAAAAAAGTCATTTTGCCACGAGGATTATACTGTTAAGGAGAGGCTTTAACCCTCCAGTCAAATAAGATTTTTTTTAATTATTATTTTTTTTTCCAATACAAGAACAATCCCCACGAGGGAGCTTTGTCTTGCAGCTGCTTAGGTTTGCCACGGTGCCGGCAAGCACTCTGCTTTCTCCTGGCCTCCTACCCTTACACTGTGCAACAGGGTAGGGATGGCAAGGGGCGAGATCCATACACAGGCCGTCTTTTGCAGGGGCACCCGTCAGAGTAATGCACAGCTCAGGGCTTGCTTGCTTTCTGCTAAGATCTGCAATCCATGTCTTGAGTAGGGAACTCAGGCAAGCACCTAATAGGCATATGTGCAAGACTCAAAGGTCTAATGATTTAGAGGGAAGTTAGCTTCTACATGTAATTTCCAAATATTTTCTTATTGACAAATTCATCATCTTTAGATTTCAATTTAAAAGACTACGACATGAAGTGGTTCTTGGAGAGCATCGCTAAAATTGGAGAATGCGAGAAGAGGTTATGTTTTGAAAATGCAGTTTTTAATTATCCTTTGACAGGTTTTACTGAATAGAGAGGAAGGCTTTTCTTTGAAGGTTCTGTAGGAAAGAGGCCTACATAACACATAGTGTATCCACCTTGGAAAGATGAACAGCTGAGTCAGTCCGTCTGAGAACAGAAACTGTAGTTACAGACAATCTAGCAAGCCTAAATCTGTGGCTTAGACCAAGAAGCTCCAGCCTCTGTAGTGGATATTGTGCTTTATTTTTATAAGAATCGGTGTATAAATTGTAAAAAGTTATTAGGGGAAGGGTCTAGGGCTCACTATATGAGTACAGCCGTAGGACTTGCTGCATGACTACTGTGGCATAGATACTATTCTTCCTTTGTATTTCCAGAATAAATTAAATAAATCAAATAAATAAAAGTCTTTACTGTGCTACAAACATGATTTTTAAAAAATCTTAATATTTATTATTATTTATTTCAATAGATATATTGTTATGTTAACTCAGGATATCTCCAGAGAGATGGATATGCTGAGCATGAAACTTTTTTTTCTGCAAAAGTTGTATGTTCACCGCAATAATGTGCAGTGGAAAGATTTAACCAAAATTTTCTTTGCTCAAAAAAAGAAAAATCACAGTAGGATCTTCCCAAAATAGAGAAACATAATCAGTTGTTAAGAGCAGTTAGGGAAGTTAACATTTTTACAAACTGATCTTTTTCATTTACTGTGTTTTTTTTCATAGCCTCAACTTCATGTAACAGGCAAAGAACATGCATTCCCATTCAATAAAAAACTTTCAAACATGTGCTAGGAGTCAGTAATATTCGCCACATAATTTCAATTTAAAGATTAGATTCAGCTATAACGACGTAAATGGCCATGCATGTTCTGATTTTTCATTCAGGAGCTTCTGTTTTATTTATTTGATTTTCTAAACAAACATGCACACATGTGTGTGTAAAAAGTAGAGCAAATGCTCGTTTAAAATAACGGTGAAATAAAATGCTGTTCCAGCTAAACCCTTGGGCTGAGCTGTTGTAAGGCAAATGAGGGGGACCTGCAAGGCGTTATGACTGTATTTGAAATACACTGGGATGGTTTAAATGGGGTATTTATATTAGTCAAAGAATTAATCTGAAAAAAAAAAGTGTTGAAATAGAGAGTCTCAGCAGGTCTGTGAACACACCAAGTTTGCAAAATGTCTGCAGGGTTTCTGCTCAGCCTTTGGGCTTTGGTGAGGTTAGGAAAACCATGTGCAGCAACGCACAGAAGGACATGGTGTGTCTGAGTCCTGAGCTGCCATGAAACAGGAAAAGCAGAGGGATCTGCATGATCTTGCCTATGTCAGTGATCACGGTGGTGGCCAGCAGCACCATACTGATTGTGTTCTTTCCTCTTTTCTCTGCAGGATGTGACATGTGTGCCGATAACCGCAATGGCGAGTGCCCCATGCACGGGCCCCTCCACTCACTGCGCCGTTTGGTGGGCACCAGCAGCGCTGCCGCAGCAGCCCCTCCACCTGAGATCCCAGAGTGGCTGCGGGACCTGCCCCGGGAGGTGTGCCTCTGCACAAGCACCGTGCCTGGCCTGGCCTATGGCATTTGTGCAGCACAGCGGATCCAGCAAGGCACCTGGATTGGACCCTTCCAGGGAGTCCTGCTCTTGCCAGAGAAGGTTCAAGCAGGAGCCATCAGGAACACTCAGCATCTCTGGGAAGTAAGTTGTCATCTTTCCTTCCTTGTTGAACTTCATTGTTTTGTTGAGTGTAATTGTATGTTGCACTAGTACTGTTCGCTAGCCAAGAAAAAAAGTTGCAATTTAAGGAAGCTGACCTAGCAGATCTGAAAATATAGGCAGTGCAAACAAAAGCCTTGCTGCACTAGAGGTGGCCAGAAAAACAGTGGACACCGCAGAGGTCCCATGGGTTTGCAGAGGACAAAAAAGTCGTTGCAGGTGCTATAATGCAGAACAGAGAAAGCTGAAGGTTACAACACGCTGCTCTTTATATTTGGACCTGAGTATCAAGAGCTGGTGGATCTCTTGGGCCACAGAACAAGCTATACCATCTTAGTCTGAGTAATACATGTGGTCTGAGATGGCACATGGCACCAGTGCTGTGGCCTGCAGACAGTCCTAGAAAGATGCTGAAACAAGTGCAGGAGCCTGTTCTACAGCCCTGCTGTTTGCCCAATGAAGGTGTTAGTGCTTGTTCACAATATAGTGCAAGTCAGGTCCTGCACTGGCTATGCATTCTCCTAATGATGCTTTCAGTGCTGTTGTGTGAAAGCTACTTCTAGTTCTTTGAAGATGTTCTAATTTTTTTTAAAATTTTTTTTTTGTATTTGTCACCACCTGAGAGAGGGTAACAGTGATAACTGATGATAATACATTCAGGATGTGCTAGTTCAGTTTATTTTGTGATGAACACTGGCTGTGGTGTGGCAGAACAGATCATAACTCTGCTATGGTATTCCTTTGGCCATACAAGGGCATGCATGGCTGTTACTGTTCCCGACCATGTATATTTTCTCCGGTGAGTTTTGTGTTTAGGTATAGTTTGTACCCAGATGCTAACAACAGCATCTTGTGGTAAGCTAATTTAGAAACAAAATACAGTATATGATCATTTTATACACAGATCTTGTTAAAATAGAGAACATATATAATCTGTCTGTGTGTGTCGGCACTTATTTACAGAAATAGCTTAGAGTCTACTTAGTCTTTTCCCATTCATTTTTTCTTTGCTTTGTGCTGAAAGGCGTAATTTCTTAGTTTTGCTCAGTCTCTGTAGCTGCAGCTTCTGCTCGCCTCAGGACTACCTGCTACAGAGAGGCAGTAGAAACATGCCTGTAGATCTGGAACTGATATTTACTAGTCTAGAACAAATACAAATCTTCAGAATGTAACTCTTACTGGTTAGGCACTTGACAAGTGTCTAGAAAGAATATTTTTGCTGTCTTCAGTGGGTATACAGTAAAAGTGAATGGATTTTCAAAAGATATTTGGTGTCGTGGAGCCAGGATGTCACGTATAGCAATTGTCCACAGAAAAACTGTGAATATTTAGGTTGTCAGTTCTTTGGGACTGTTGATGACCTCTTTTGATCATTATATTCTACTTTTGCATACTATTGAATATGTGTGACTTCCTTCCATGAGTAGGATCTCCCACGGACTTCCCATACAAAAGCAAGTGGTAAATAACACTTCAGGGTCTTCATCTCAAAGTACTTACCCAAATTTCATTGTGGCAAGAGGGAACTTTTAATATTAAAGGTTAAAAGATTAGTCTTAGAATACACCTAAATGTACTCAATTAAACTGGATGTCTTACAGTCATTTTGTTGCTGTGTTCAGGGGGGATGGAATTTCTCTTGTACAGCAGATATTAATAAGCTGGACTTAAATTTGTTCCTACCAAAGCCCAGTGATTAAAATGAGAGCATTTTGGGATATGTTATTAATAATTATTTTTTTTGGTGGAACGCTCTGTAATTATGTTTGTGTCTTTATTTTCATTTTTAAGAGGGATTTTGTCAATTAGTGGAATATAGAATAATAAAATAAGCTTGCCAGATAATCAGGTGACTTGAAACAGTGAAATTTAGTTAAAAAACAATGGAGCTTGTGAATTTCACATTATCATGAAATATTTACATTATCAACTTTAAATTATTCTTTAAAACTGTGAATCAGCTTTATTTATTTATTTGCAACAAGTTGCAAATACTGATAATATATTTTTTATACAGGCAAGGCTTTTTAGTCTAATTTAAGATGAACTTAACATTATTTTAAAGCAATGAAAGATGGAGGGTTGTTGTAGGGAAGGCCAAAACCAAAGAAGAAAAAGATATTATATAAAAATAAGAAATAGTATTTACATATGGGCTAGATTCTGGCTAACAATGGGTGTCAGATGAGTTTTTTTGGGGGATTGCTCTTCTGTTCTTAACACACAACACAGATTTCCTGTTGGCTAGCAAATTGAGTATATGTATTTTAAGTCAATTATCTTAAAAATAATAATTGAACTAAGGGTTTTTTTGGGGGGGAGGTATTGTGGACAGCTCATGGTCTCAGATTATTTCTTTTAATGGCAAAAATTGTTAGTAACGAATAATGTACTCTAAGCTCTAGCTAGAAGTTTTGACCATTTCTCATTTGTTTTGTCTTGCAATTGGGTATGTTTTATCTATCAGAGAACTAATGTTTATTAAAGAAAAACTGTAAGCAAAAGAAATCAGGAAGTGTGTGTGATTTTATAAAGCTGGTCTATGAAAATAAATAAAAGCAACTGAAAGTATGTGACTGAATAGTCTGTGTTCTTTTAGGTATAGGAGTGGGGATTAAATCACTGTAAACATTAAAGAAATGCCTCATCGTTGTCCCTTTCTGAAGTTGTGGCTTTAGTCAGTTCTCTTCCACTGATCTTTTAAAGATAGCTGTAAATACAAGTATGTCCACAGATCAGTTACTCAGAATTAGGTCTTGGTAGAACTTACAGAGAGAAATTAATTTTCTTAGTACTGTAAATGGCATTCTAATATTTTTTTCTCTCAGCAATAAGATAATTGTTTTCCTTTACAATTCTTTGTTTTCAGTGTACACCAGATAAGTAGAAGGGCTGTTGGGAAGACTTTTAAGCACAGTTACTGATTTGGTGGCTTTTTTTTTTCATTTTCTTTGTTGTGGGAAACATCAGAAGCACTGCATTTGATGTATAGTTCAACGCTATGGAAATATGCCTCAGTCTGTCCGTGTGAGTGTTCCCACCATGCACTCAATGTTTGCTTTGTATGCAATCCATGCAGAACAACGTACAGTGATTTAGGGTAAATTAAAAACCATTCCATTACCTCACAACAGGCCTTGACACCTATGGGTGTTCATGGGAAGTTATTGAGTTCACTCGCCATCATCTGAGATAATTTTTAATAACTTACAGAAAGATCAGCACTTTAGAAAGCCAAAAATATTGATCATTTTCAGTTGTAGTTCATTTTCTTCCCCCTTTGACCCACTTATATCCAATCCAGAGTTTGCTTGTATTTTATATAAATACAATAAACTCTGATATGTTTAAAACAAAAACAGGACTGGGTGTATTAAGTAAACACTCTCTTTGGTAATACAGGCATTTATTCCTGCACTGCTTGATAATATTTCTGATCTTTTTCTTTCTTTTCTTTTTCTTTATTTTGAAGCAAAGAGAACAATCCTTTTGTTATTGCAAAGAAAACAGACACTTTCTCAGCAGTTAGGTCTTACTGATGAGAATGAGATAATTTTCCCCTAATGTGTTTTCTAATGAAGAAGTGAAAAGGCACACTTGATTCCAACATATATGAAAACATTATCTCAATTATTAATGTGTCCTTACTCCCTGGAGATAAATTAACCTAGTTGCACATGGTTTCCTCTTTCTGTTTAACATCAGAATTTAATAAGGGTGGACTTAAGGAATGTACACGATATATACTTAAATTCTATTAGAATAAAACACGGAAGTTTAAAAGGTTTATACCTTTTAATAGTCAAAGTTTTTTAGGCTCCAGATTTTAAACTGTGAATTCTGGAAACAGCTAAATTATAAATGGTCTTTTACCTTACAGATGCAGTTTAGATAAAAAAACTTTTACCCACAGATGTATCAAATGATGGAATCCTAAAATTTCTTTGACTTCATTCACCTGATAACACGTTTGCTGCCTTTCTTCTTTTCTTTTTGTCAAGGAAGTTGGTGTTTTCTCTTTTTCTCTTTTTTCTTTTTCTTTTTCTTTTTTTCTTTTTCTTTTTCATTTTCTTTTTCTTTTTCATTTTCTTTTTCTTTTTCTTTTTCTTTTTCTTTTTCTTTTTCTTTTTCTTTTTAATTTTTATTTTCCCTTTCCCTTTTCCTCTTACTTTTTCTTTTCCTTTTATTTCCCCTTGCAAAAGCCCAAGAATGACAACTATATTATTTGACTGTATTTTAACTTGATTTTGATTTAATTAAAACTTTGGTTTTCAGAAAGAAACGCATTTTCTTATGTGCTTGTCTTGTGCAAAATATACATATAGCAGGACATTCATTAGTAATTAAAAATGCTAAACCTGTATTACTGATTTTCCCCTTAAATGGACTGGATTAATTGTCACTGCTAAAAAGTGTGCATGTCACTTTAATAAACTGCTATTTAGGTACTTATTGACCAATCATCTGTGCCTCATCTGTGCCTTTAACTTAATCTGGACTAAGAACAGGCATTTTGCTAGGAGACAGGCTCGCCAGAGTCCATGCAGTGGTACTGTCAATTTTTGTACAAATTAATATCCAGCCATAATCTTTACCTTGCAAAGGAAGCACTCATTCCAGTTACAGTGATAGATTTGTATTCAGATTCTCAAGGCTACAGCGAAGCACTAGGGGATAGAATTATGTGCATGCCATAGTTCTTTTAAAGTGAAAATTATGTTTCTCAGAAATCCATCATCTAGTATTCTAGACCGTGTGTCAGTCCTGTTTCGAATATGTCATGTTCAGGAAATTCAAATAATTTAATCTTAAAAAACCCTCTTAGTTATGTTACTATTATAGCTTAAATTATGCAGAGTATTAGCTGGTGTTATTCTGGTGGTTTTGTGTTTTGCTTTTTCTGAGGATTTTGTGTGGTGTACCACCCTTGCATTTATTTTTTCTTTAAAAAAGCCAGTAATTTTTACTTTTACATTTATTTT